CTGAACGTTCCAAATCTTTGAAAAAATTCCTATCTCTTGTATTATCTTCCCAATCAAATCTTCTATATATGTATATATATTAGGGTGGTCCTTATTTTTCGACTTTTAAATTTATTCTGCGGCACCCCCCAGAATGTTTCCAATTTGCAAAAAAATAATTTCTGCCAAAGCTCAGTTCGATTTTACAACTCGTAATAAATACTGTTTTTGATCTTCGTTTCTAGTAATTAATTTACTGTAATTCTCCATTAACTTAACGCCTCTTTCCGCTGTATATCGCTAACAGCTTTTAATTTGGATACAATTTGAAAACCTTTTTTAAAAGTGTCGTTTTCTGACCGGGTTGACGGGTCAGCCTGCATAAAATCCTGACTAATATTAAATCTGTCGAAAAAATCAGCTGTTTTCGCAGTTACGAAATGTTCAATATCTTTTTCTAGCACTTCAGGAATATTGTGTGTTTTTATAACTACGCGCTTAACACTTTTATTTGTCGATATTTTTTCTGGATTGATAGCTTCAATCATCTACTTTTTCGTATCTACGGATACTTTCTGATCAAAGAATTATATTAAATATACACAAGAAATTCGGAATAAACAAATATGCGAAAATTACGGGATGCACATATATATATAGGATAGGATAGGATACTGAGAATACAAAGAAAATGTTGCGAAAAATAACACCCCAGCCAGGATTCGAACCTGGACCTCCCTCATTCCGTGACGGGCGTCTCACCAATCGATCACTGAGGCATGTGGTGATATTTATCGCAACATTAGTTAATAAGGAAGAACGTCTTTTACCGGCGACGTATATAAACACGGTCGTATAAACAATAAGTATGAGATTATATCGTATGTGATAGTATGTGTATTATCACGGTCGTCTAATCTCATACTTATTGTTAATGGAATAAACAGTTTAATACAAGAGAATTCAAAATGTTTAAAAATCCGGGGGCACAGGTTTCCGTTATCCGATCGAGCTGAGCTTTGGCAGGGATTATTTTTTTGCGAATTGGAAACATTCTGGAAGGTGTCGCAAAAAAATGTTTAAAAAATTTTTTTGTCGAGTAAATAAGGACTACCCTAATATACATGTATAAAATTCTCACGATAGCGAGTGAAGGTTCAATATATATAAAAACTTAAACGCAATTGTTACTTGTCCAACTTGTTCAGGTCTCTGGAATCGAAAATTTCGCAATAATTTTCACATTGCGTATATTCGATGACGATAACATGAATGCAAAAAAATATATAGATATAATTCTGCACAAAGAGCAATTTTTCTTCGACTGCCAAATACTGTCCGATTGTAAGATTTTCAAGTTTGTTGATTATAAAATAAAAGGAAAGAGCGCATAAAAAAGTGTCGAGTAATCGCACCGGCCTTGAAGAGGCCGACGTCTTTGTCGACACAAACGCCATCGGTATTCCACGTCCTTTGCTCTCGCGCGCGAACGTTGTTTGAATATAAAAGATAATTCTCCGACTATCCACCGATCCACCGATCTACCGCTGCTTTGTACAATATGCCTTTCAGTGTGTAACTTCACGGTAGTCTTTATTCTTTATAAAAGTGGCATAAGTCAAAACTCGAAGAACAAAAATATAAATGAGAAAAATTAACGTAGAAAATACACGATTGACTATGTTATTTTTAGAAAATTAGAAAAAAACCGATATCACTTTTACAACAAATGTATTCAGTCATTAAATTAACGTGTTAATTATCCTTATTTAACGATGTTGTAGTGATATCGCGAATCAAGCATAAATAATAATAATCGAAACGCGAGACACTTATCACCTCGTGATTTTATCTATTTGCTGTTTCGTCCCGTTGCATCGATAGGAAAGTAACTAATTTGACCGATTTGTGCGATTGCAGAATAATTTGGTATTTTTTTGATATTAGATATTAGTAGATTGTAGAATATTATTACAACTATTTCGCTAATTCTGTAAGTTACGTTTGCAAGATTCGATAATAATGTTTCATCCGTAAACATTGGCAAAATTGGTAAGTGATGAAAGCGAGTGATTCATAAAAAAAAGCTCTTAAAAATCGCTGATTCAACAGGCACGGAAGTAAAATAGTTCAGCTCGTGCAAGTAACGCGCGACTGAAGTCTATACGTCATATGAGTCATCGTTGCGGTGCAAATGACACGAATGCGAATTTTTCTTATTTTTTTTTATCGATAAGCCAATGTTTCAAGTTTCAACAACGCGTCAATGTCAATTGATGCTAATGCGCATAAGGCGTAGGCCGGTGCACTTGTTAATTTGAGAATTGCGTTTTGCTTAAAAAGAAAAAGAAACGCTCAGAGGGCTCGGGCGTTGTCTTACAAATGCGACCGAGACGCGTTCGTGATGTCGCGACAGTAATGTCAACGACGATGACGCGACAGGACGTGTTTAAAAGACGGATATTTAAGCGAATTAAGATTAAAAGTTAGGTACCGTAGGCATGATACAGGTTGCACTGGGAACAATTTTTAGTGTAACCGTTAGGAGCGTGTATTACATAACATAACAAACGACGCACGTGCGGATTCCACGTGTCGAGTTTATTACGTAAACTACACGGACACGTTCGCGGAAATAGCAACAGCGCCGCGGTTTCAACGAGAAATCAGACAGTCACTTTGACACGTGATGATTACATATTAGCGCGCGCACGCGCACGCCCGCGTTATTTCACACAAACAATTAATCTAAAAATATTTTTTTATCTTCAACACATATGTATATCTCGTTATCGTCTTTTAAATTTGACCGATAGTTTTGGCACTCGATCGCTTCGTTAATATGTAAGTACTTTCTGTTAGTTTTCGAATAAATTTTTTTCCCCTTTCTATATTTCTCTTAAAATGTATTATCTTATGATTTAAACCGATTATTCAATTATAAGGAGGAACGGTTCAAATTTTATCATCTACGACATTGACTGTCGAAGGCGCGTGTCTTATCGACAGGTATATATAGCCATCTCCGCGAGTGTGTCGGAATTGTCGGATGCATGGCGTCACTAATCGCATACTTGGATTTTTTGTCTTTCTCATCCACGTGTATTCGACCCACTGCTAATCGCTAACATATCGTTCGTGCTTGAGAACAAACAAGCGTGTTCCGACTTGAGCAAGAGCCGCATCTTTGCTTTGTTCATGCGTTGAAAGCTATCGAAACATCGCGCCCGCGCCGGAGAGTCCACGCGGTACCTATTTGACGAAATTCGCGAAAATATTGTTGTCGTATTAAACTCGAGCCCAAGCGTTCGCGATCACGATTTAAAATCCTGTTAGCTGTTAGTCCTGTTACCCCACAGTACAATACTCAACTTACAGATACGATGTTTTTGTCCAACGATAATCTTTTGCTATCTGTATACCTACTCATTGTATACTCATTTTATGCCATGGCAGAAGGTTTCCCCCGAAGGCTTCAACGACATTAAAACCGCAAATGTAATTTCTCTCGGCAAATTAAGCGAAAATTATCTTTTTATCTTACATTCGATATAATCGGGAAGAAGAAATGTCAAAATACTGCTGGCTTAAAAGAGCGAATGATCGCTAGATCGAGCGCGACGATGAGAATATCTATGATCGGATCGTTACTATTCCGATGATGGCTGATGACGCCCGTGTTCAGACTATGAATCCGATGACGATCGCGGTGACAAAGGCCAACACACGCGATCTCTGTACAGTGTATTTCCGTGTTGAGGAACATACATTATTTACAATTTCCTAGTATATTTTAACGAGAATTAAAAATTTAACGAGAGAAACGTACGCGCGTGATTCGGTGACTTGGCACCTTGCCCGAAAATTGGAGCATCAGGTAGGTAGTCAGCGAAAAAATTAATTTTGCCAATCTCGTACCGTATTACCTTACGATTTTAGAAGCTTGAAACGATGGAAGCGACTGAAATAGATGAGAAAACGCTTTTGTTTCGAAAGTGTTAAGCTTTATTTATGATCGTGATAATTTTTGCAGACACGTGGCGATATATTTTTTTCTACTTAAATATATGCATACTCACCAATACCACACAGTAATTACTGTTTGACATTGCAAATGACTTTTCTACGGTTGTGTAAACAAGCGTGTGATGACGCGTAGCGCAGTAGTATAAATTATTTATTAAACGTTCTTATAAAAGTTTTACGTATAAAAGTTAAGGTCTTGGCTTTCCTTATTAATTATTCACGTGGACACACACATACACGCACACACACGTCTTAATTAATTAAATTAAAAAATCAACCCGAATCTTTGTGATTTCAAAGTTTCAAATCGCAATTATTCGTCCAAGACAATTGTTGAATTGAGAATAAGTAAATGCAAGGGATCGCGCGCGCGTTTCTATCTGTTCAAGAACATCAGATAGCACAAAGTGATAGGCCGTGTGTTTACCTAAACCGATAATTAAGTTTGTTATCGCTAAATGTGTGTAATTTAAAATCTTAATATAGAACTTGCTCTATACTTATGGATATAGATGCACAGAGCTAAACTTTTTGCGTGACAATGTATAAACGAAAAACGAAAGGATCCTCCAAAATGCTCGATTCGTTGTAATATTAAACCGAGGATATTGCACGGCGCAAAGACAGTTTGGGGTGGCCGATTTAATCGCACCTCGGAGTTTAAAGATAAACGTTTTTCCTTCCTAGAATGTTACTCGTACCATTTTAACGCGAATATACACGTACGCGCAATGCGATCTTGTATTACTCATATGTGACGCATCGTGAGGATTAGTTCCTTCCTTTCTTCCGAATATCGGCGCGCAAACTCGCTACATCGCGCGATCACAAAATGCTGCATGGTGTCATATAATTGTGCCAGCAGTGAACCGAGTAATAAAGTAACTTTATTTTCACAGTCGCGGTTGTGTGTACATCTACGTGTATTTCTGTGTGTATTTTATACATCTCTTTTCTTTTCATATGTGAGAAAATAATTATTTGAATTTACTTACAGCGGCAGTGGTGTCACTGATGACGACATCGGTCGGTGCCGCTTCTGTATCCGTGTACAAAACGAGGAACGCTATCACCATCAGGTAGACGTCGACTCTTCGCTGTCGTGAAACAATCTCGATCCACCTCGTCATATTTTCGACCGACGCTGCTTTCGATCCAACTCGTGTCACCGTTAAGCTGAATTTCCGCTAGGGAATGGATCAACGCGATTTTCTATACAGCGTCGCAGTGCTCGCTTTTTTTTTACAGTGCCCCCTCCCCCCAGAAAAACACTGAATACACACGTTGCACGTGCTTTTCTAGGGTACACCCCGTGTCGTATCGTCGCCGTTGAGAATTGCAACGTCGAACGATGTCAGACGATGATAGGTACTTTCAATTTCAATTATTTCCTCTTGTTTTAGATAAATCGTCTCGCGTATACGAGCTATCGGGTTCTCGCGCGCGACGCGTTACTTCTGGCGTTATAATTTTGTTAATCGCGAAAAAAAACGATATCTCTCGACTCTCGATATCTCCACCGTTTCCACGTAGTTCCACTGTGTAGTTCTCGACAGAGTACCACACTTGGCAGGGTGGTGGTCTTCAACGTGGTTGCCACAACACTATCGATCTCGTGGTGTTTTCCTCGCTGAATGATAGTTCGCCCCAGGGCTCTTTCGCTCTGTTGCTTCAAACGTGAACCTTTGTACTCCTCGCGTATTCGCGTATTCTTGTATTCGTGTGTACGCGCCTTGCATGCACCTCGTTCGATTTTCAGTCCGACAAAGACCTCCCTGTTCTTCCGTGATTTGCAGAGAGATTCGTTTCGATGAACTCGAAATCGAGGAACGAAGGAAGACAAAGATATGAAGAGAGAGATACGATACAAAGGTTGGAGCGAGCAAGGATGGATCACGTAGGCTGTCGATCCACGTCAAAGGAGAGGAGAGCCGAACGGTGCAAAAACGCGCGGATACGCGGTGCCGCTCTCTATCCGGAGTCCACCGCTACTCTGAATCGTAATCAGTCTGCCACTGACTTTTATCGAGATCTCCCACCATAGCCGCGATGGCCACGGTCACCAATCGCGCACCACGGTTTGACGGCTGACGGCGCTCCTACACGTGCAGGTATACATGTTGCAGGCGTTGCAGCTTGCAGCGCGCGCTGCTGCCTGCTGCCTTTGCATGCGCGATAGTTAGTCAGATCGGGGGAAAAGGATAAAGTTTCAAGATAAAGTTACCAACTTCCCCGTGTTTCCTGATCTCAGAATAGCCCGAAATCATCCCTTACTTGACATTTGACACACAAAACATTTCGTACGGTCGCATTTTTTCCATTTTCCATTTTCTCTTTTTTTTTCCTACTCAAGATGACGATGTTACGAAAGATCTTTGGCTCGCATTAATTACATATCTCTCGCTGATGGACCCTTTAAAAATCTTTGATTAAATGATTGTGGTAAATATTGAGTCCCAATGACGTGTTTGCGAAAATGGGGAAGATACCTATGTACTATATATATATATATGTGTATGTACTGGTGCTATTACTCTTTTCCCATCTTTCCCTCAGTCACCAGGAGACAGCGAACCGATTCTCCAAGTCGATGAATAATGGAGCGATATCTTTCACTCTGCATGATATTCCGATCGTATGTTTAAACATTAGGATCCTCTTTTCAATATCTATTGTGTCGAAGGAAATTATATCCCGGGAGGTTTCGTGGGTAACTTTGTGACTCATTCGGGTTTTAGGCTACTCTCCATTCCCAAGAATTCCTTTCGGAATTTAGCAATGCCGACGACCGCAGACTCGATCCCAAGTCGGGATTGATGCATGAATTTCATATGTAGATGAACCGCCGCGCCGCGCGAGCTTTTAAGTAATTTTTCAATGGCATGAAGATAAGAGTCTGCATTAGCTCTGACATTCGACGTTTATGATATTTTAAATTTTAAAATGTTTATTTAAATCTCTTTACGTATAAATTAATATGTAGTAAGATTTCGCATTATTAGAAATGTCGGTAAAATTAATTGACAAACGGTGTCCATATTCGCCATAATTACATGTTTTTTTTTTTTTTTAGAAATGCTCTACTTATCAATCGAACAGCCTATCGTAACAACAAAATGCTTTTCTTCTTATTGTTAGTTATCCGTACCGGTAGGTATTACAAAGGATACTTATGTATATTAACTGAAACCGCGAGTCTCGTGGAGACAAAACTTGAATGCAAATGGCTCACAACAGTACATTGAACGAATGAGTAATCATCAGACTTTTTTGATGCGCACGATTGTCGCTCTGCATTTCATCTTTAAATGAATAAAGAGTTATCATTCTTTTTTCCTTCAATTCTTTTTTCTTCCTACTTAATTCGTGTGGAAGATCTCTCGTTTCTTTCTCCCCGAATTTCACCTGTAATCATTATTTCAAAATCTTTTATCAATTCCATAAATATTTCTTATCTTACGCGAACGAAAGACTTTATGTTCGTTTATTTTGCGCGAACGTGATTCTTATGAGAATATTTGTCGACTCGTAAACAAAAATCCGACAATTTCATTTGGATTTTAAAATAAAAAAATATGCGGGAAAATATGTTAAGAAGGTGCTTCGTAAAATTTTATTTTTATCTTATTGTTAGCAAAGAATAATATGCGTGACATCTTTAGTACCTTTCAACATAAACTGATAATGTATAATTTGTAAATGAAATCGAGAGACTTTAACAAAGTAAGTGTACACATACACAGTAGGACCACGGTGTATAACCATACCCAGCATCGACACTGAACGTTTTTAGTGAGTCCCAACTCCGTACATCTAGGAATATGGCGGCCTATGTATGTATGACAAAGAGAAAAATACTTCTCTCTCTTTTTCTCTTAAGCGTTCGTACATCTCAGAAGATGGCGGCGAGTCATGTGACCGGGACCTACTACATCAAAGGTGCCGACGCTCACTGTCGCTGCTGGGTATGGTTATGGTTATACCGTGGTAGAACTTCTCAATCGTTTATAAATTAAGAATAGCTCGATTCTGAAATCCGTTTATTTTTTCAGAAAGTACGTTATTATGTCGTTACGTACATACATGCATATCATTTTATAGACGTAAAGTTATTGAGAAACTTGTTTTATTTATGAACATTACAATGTGAAATATTACTTTTTTCTTTAATATTTGGTATAGATTGTATGTTAGGTGCAAAACTTTATTGGTGTGCGCGCAGGTGTGTGTAGCAATTGCAAGTTTGAAAAAGTCATATCTCTATTCTCATATATTACTGATTGCGAGTTAAAATGTTGAAAAACTTTTTAACTTTTATGTGTGATATATATACATATATATATATATATATATATGCATACAAAAGATAAAAAGCATTCTTGTCCGTGAAGTTAGTCCCTTGAAGTAGGGCAGTGATGCCTGCTTTTCAACAGAGAAGGAGAGTAAGCATAGGTCGACGAAGACATCAGCTTGAGACGATCGCATCCATGCCGCACCTAAAAATTATACTCTGCTCGCGCTAAATCTCATTTATTTCTCCCTCCTTTTTTGTCAAGCTACAAACGTTGCACTATGATCCTAATCGTTTGTCGATCGTTTATTCAGCCGGTCATTCTTCGATTCCTTTGGTCGTTCTTCCCGACTTGGATTCACCTGGTCAAGGCCATCGTCACGTCGATTCGCTCGTATTCGCGACTCATCTCATTTCTAATCATAAAAATTAGCGGAATGTTTGCATCGAGTGTAATTAAGAAATTAATTGTAGATATCTACGTTTTGTCTCGTCTTATTAATAATAACTCTTATTGTTTCTCATCGGGCTTTTTTTCCTATTTTCTAGAGAATCATTTATGGAGATTGTTTGTATCCTTGATTGGTTTCGCGTATTGGTTTTATCACATTTCATAATCGAATCATTGATTATTCATGACATTTTATTTTAATATGTTTGCAACGTTTATTATGACGTAATATTAATGAAGAGAGAGAGAGAGAGAGAGAGAGGGAGAGAGAGAGAGCGCAAAATCAAAAGGTTACTATTTTCAAGTTAATTTTTTTACGAAATGTGTAGAGTTTTTGCTCCAAAGAACAGAAAGAGTATGTGTTTGGACGGATTATGTATATGAGAGCCGCAGGCTGCGGAAACTAACCACGGTATACTGCTACTACTGAAAGCTACTCATTCTCTGAGCGTTCATGTGAGTGATTCATCGTCGCGCGATTCTTCGTAGAGAAACGGACACACTCGGAAGTAACGTCCATCGTAAAATCAGCCAGAGACGCTCTCTTATAAAGATTTATACTATCAATTAAACTTTAAATATACCAGATGTGCTCGTGATGAAAAATTCCACGACTGGGGATAACCGGGGGATGAATCATTTCCTTGGATTCGCATTCAAATTTTCGTTGGATACAAAATTTGCGAACTACATGAGAGAATAGCGGCAACGAGTAAACAAATGATACCCTCTTCTAACAATTCTGTTATCTATGTAAGGAAATTTCCCAGACAGTAGGTACACATTGTGCTGTCTATGGGTTCTGTTTCTTGCGTAAAACGCGAGCAATAACTATAGAGAAGATTTTTAACTCTCGTTTCGTCAACATACGGAAATACCGAAACTTGTTGCGCGATAAATATTGAAGGGTGTTTTCAACGTGACACCGATGAGTCAGGGAATTGTCCAGCGAATCGTTCTCGGTATCTTTTTGGAAAAGATCTACAAGGAAGATCTTTTCCTTGCTTTTCCTCAGAATCCTTTAATCCTGTGACCTATGAACATATAAAACCAACAAAAGAGACAGAAAGTTGAAAAACTTGATGAAAATCGCGTCTCTATCTCTGTCTCTACGCTCTTATAGCCAGTTATGCAAATTAGAGTAAGACATCTTCCTGTACCTATGCGAACACGGGAATTTTTTGTTTGAAAGGGAGACCAAAGTCCATCTTTCCCAGAATTTCTCGTTGTCGCACGTAATATTATTCACGTATACGTTTCATCTTCTCGCGAGAGATATGGCGCTCGCGAGATTGTCCTTGTTATGTACATCGTTAACATGCAGGCTCGCCCTCGAGAACCTAACCGCTGCTATAATAAATCATTCCTATGCGAATATCGTTCGCGTATGTAATTATGCACGTGCATTTCCCTTTCCCGTTTGATTCACATGCGACACGATGGACCGTCCGAAAGGTCACCGCGCGCACCGATGCCAGATAAATCTACGACGCATCTCGATGGAAATTGTTTTTGCACCATCTTCCTATTAGAGACGAGACAGATGATTCTTTAATTCCACTGTTGACGGTGTTTAAACGTCCGCGCGACTTCGTATCGTATCCGCGTAATCTTCGATCGTGAAGTGAATCATTCGAGACTTTGCGAATCGAACGTGAACTTTTCTCAAGATGAGAACTTAATTGTTTTAATTGGTAACACGCTTCTAATCTTCGCGGAATATACAATTCCAAGGAATTGTAAAACTGAGAACGAAAGCAACAGATTTCTGAGTCATAAACTGTCACAAACTGTCACCGCACGGAGAGCATTGAGCAATGAACAAATTTCTACGAGTGATTACGAGACTTGAATCTCTGAACTGAACAAACACAAGCGTCCCTTTGATTGTCTTGTCCGGATCAGTGCGGGTACACGCTACTTGGAAAGATGCGATTTCCAAGTAGTATTTCGAAAAAGTCTGGCTAATTGCATTTTTTATACATATATTATCGCGAAAGCACGTGCCTGCATGCAGTTACTCGCGCCTCGCAGATTTATATACCACAGTCGGATGACGGAAGCCAAAATGACTTTGTATACCTGCAGCTAGGAAATTGCTAGTTTATCACTAACAATAAATATATTCAATGAATTAAAGAAAGAAACGCTAATAATTCAAACGTTAATAATTTCATTTTGTCGAAGAGCGACATTTTGGCAAGTGCCGTGCCGTGCTGCGCTGCGCCAGTAGATTCCTGTGGGTTTTCAAATTAAATAAAGCCGC